GTAACGAAATAATTTGGATATATCAACAAAGTTGAAATGGTAAATTGGCCACTGTAATGATTACAAAAGCTGACGTTTCGAGCGTTAGCCCTTCGTCTGAGCTCCAACGAAGGGCTAACACTCGAAACGTCAGCTTTTGTAATCGTTACGGTGGCCAATTTACCATTTGAACATGCAGAGAATGTTTGGTCTCCATAAGATTTTAGATGTGATGGAGGAACTTGAAGTTGAAAACTAAAGGATAATACCTGCTCTAAACTCCACTGTTAGGAGTATATATATGGATGATACCGATGACACACATACTTGTGTCAATAATGTGAAATCTTAAACCAGTCAAGAGTTTGTTCTCAGTTACCTTAACCATTCCAATCTTCATTTTATTATTCTAATAAGGCATTAGTTTCAATAATGGCACTGACGTGAAGGTAGGGAGGGGCTACAAGAAGTTTTGCAGGGGGCTTTGTCATGTGCTGTTGCTCAATTACATCTCCCCTACTTTGCCTATTTTGTTTCCCTCTCCCCTCCCCCCTTCAGATTCTGTTTAAGTATTTATTCCACACACTGGATTGTCAGTGTTGTGTTGAAAAATGCTTAGAGGTGAACTGACTTAATTGGTGGCCATATAAAAATTTTGCTGCTGAAGAAATTGTTGCCTTCCTCTGTAGCTACCCTTACTGCTGCATCTTTCCTCTACTACCACTGATAAGGAAATTTGACAACATAAAAACTGTTTTCTACATTTTACCTCCATTTCTCCGTGGAAACTAAAATTAATATTTTTCACTGTCCTGTAAAATGGGTGTAACTTAGTCACCTAATAAATTTTAACAATAATAAAAATGCTTGTCAATCTCTGTAGAGTGCCCAGTGGCATTTGAGTCAGATGAGGATGATTATCGTATAGAAGTGCTGATAAGCCTGCGGCGACTAGAAAGGCTTGACAAAGACGAATACACAGATGATGAGAGACAAGAGGCAGAAGAGGTCAGTAACTTATATACTTGTTCTTACCATCTTTGGATCCGTAGAAAGCAACACTTGACGTGCACTAAAGTACACAATAACTAGTACAACCTCCTGGCAAAGATTCATCAATATTCATTTTAAATTCACAGATTTATGAACAGAGAAGACAAGAGGAAGCATTAGCAGTAAGTACCACCGTAAAAGAGCGTTTGAACCTTTTTATTTAACTTTTAATCAGCTCTTCCATGAATCTCAGACAATTCAAATTATTTGACCAAAAAAATGTACGGTTTTTTAATGTTTTCATCATTCACATTTTTTTTTTACAGGCAGGAACCCAAGAAGTCATTCACACAGATGAAGATGACTGATAGACTGTCTAGTTTTTAACACTGTTGTGCAATTTTCATTCTATGAACCATTGATTGATTAATACTACGGACCATAAGTGTGAAGTTGTGTTGTATTTTGTGTTCTTGCACTCTTCAACAGTCTCAAGTAAATTGTAAATACAGATCTACAAGATGACCCACTGTAAAAAAATTCTGTCAGTAAAAAGTTTTTGCTTCACATTTTTAATATTATTAATGATTTTTTTCCTCTAACTTTTTTCCTCCTGAAGACCCATTTGTAAGGTATCAATTTTTTTTAACAATTCAAATATGTTGAAGTTGCAAGTTCAACTACATGTCTTGTTGTGCCAGTCATAGTCTCCCAACTAATATCAACCTCTCTGTTTAACAAATGGTAAACACCACAGCGTACACTATTGAGTTATGGATGCACGCGGGAGGTTGCTAAGCATGAAAGAAGCGTAAGAGTCGCTCGAGGCGATAGCCGAGAGCGACTCTAGCTTCTTGAGTGCTTAGCAAACCTCCCAAGTGCATCCATAACTCAATAGTGTACGCTGTGGTGTTTACCATTTGTTTTATAACATAACATTGATACATTGTAGCTAAAGAGTTCCCTTTTATTTAACAAATCTTACG